GGCAGGGACCTACAGAGCACTCACTCCACGATCCACACCGCTGCCCGGGGGGGGGCCGGTGTGTCAGTCATCGTCTCCAAAACCAGTGACAAGCCAGGGAAGCAACGATGAGAGAGGACACGCAGGCCCAAGAGCCGGTACACTGCCGCCGTGCGGATATCGGCCACGAATGTCGCCGAGGTACGCTGCAGCCGCCACCAGCTCATGGAGAGCAGGGGCGCAGTCAGGGCTGAATCTGACCACAAAGTGGGCAGAGGAACGGCGGGTACCTACAGAGCACTCACTCCACGGACCACACCGCTGCCCGGGGGGGTGCCACTGTGTCGTTCATCGTATCCGGAACCAATGACTGGCCGGGGCTGCAACGATGAGAGAGGACACACTGGCCCAAGGGCCGGCACACTGCGACCTCGCAAGTAACGGCCATGATTGTCGCCGAGATTCGCAACTGCCGCGACCAGCTCATGGAGCGCTGGAACGCAGCCAGGGCTGAATCCAAGCCGGTACACTGCAACCTCGCGGTCTGAGGGGGGGGCGCAGCCAACAGCCGCAATGTACACATGTCTCTGGGGGGGGTGCAGCCAACAGCCGCAATGTACACACGTCTCTGACCACACCGCTGCCCGGGGGGGGGCCGGTGCGTCGTTCATCGTATCCGAAACCAGTGACTGGCCAGGGCTGCAACGATGAGAAGAACGCACTCAGGCCCAAAAGCCGGTACCCTGCAGCCTCGCAGGTAACGGCCACAGCCGTCGCCGAAAACCACAGCTGTCACGACCAGCCCATGGAGCGCTGGGACGTAGCCGGGGGGGTGGAAGGGGAGCGCAGCCAACAGCCGCAGTGGACACATATCTTGGTAGCAACTCGCAGAGCATACGATGAAGGGGGTTGGAAACCGTCGCAAGAGACACCTGAAGTGTCACGGACTTGCGGCCCGAAAATGCTGGAAGATACCGATCCCACGTGCGCGATGCCATTTACAAAGTGTGAGCCGGCAGAGTGTGTCTGCGAGGGCCCCACCTACGAATGGACATCCAAGTGACATGGTAGCAGCTGCACGCCGCGAGAATCTGCGCGTGAGGGGGGTGCAGCTACCCGCCGCGAGACACACTCTCTCTCATGGTGATGGGGGGCGCAGCCAACAGCCGCAATGGACACATATCTTGGAAGCAACTCGCAGAGCGTACGATGAGGGGGGTTGGATAACCGTCGCGGGAGGCACCTGAAGTGTCACGAAATTGCGGTCCGCATATGCTGGAAGAAAACACTTCCCACGTGTGCGATGCCGCTGGCGGGGATACTTGTTTGATTCGCGGCCCGCAAGGAAAAGTCCAGAGGGCGGTAAGAACGAGGCTGGGACACAGCGCACGGGAAGGCAGATAATTAACGGCGCAGCACAAGTGCCGGCCAAGAAGCAGCTGAGCATGTGCCAGCAGCAGAGAATAAGCGACGCTGCTGGTGGGGATACGCAAATCGTGCAGAATAACGCTACGTCCGCGCTCTAAGGGCCACACTCCCTTGTAAGTTACTCTGCGCCCGCGCTGCCAGGGCCACGATCCCTCATGAATTACGCTGCGTCTGGTACCCCAAGACCACGACCTCTAATAAATTGCGCTGCGTCTGCGCACCCAGGGCAACGATCCCTCGTAAATTAGGAGGCGTCCGCGCTCCCAGGGCCACGATCCCTGGTAAATAACAATGCGTCCGCACTCCCAGCCACCTGGGCATCCTGAGGCGCTCAGGTCCTTCAAACTCTGCGAAACAAGCGTTTCGCTCGAAACATCCTCGAGGATTCTGCGCGCAGGACGCGTCATCCTTAAGCGGGCACGTGCAACATCGATTTGTTTATTACTTGTTCACATATAATACAAAATATACAGGCCTCTAGACGGCCTCTAGACCCCAACACTTGCAAAGGATTCTGCGCAAAACGCTCCGCACCCTCTTTACAAATGGAAAACGGGGGTCTGCGGACCTGCTATTGTATCGAGGATCCGAGATGGGGGACGCACTTTCATCGAGCGGGCACAGGCAAAACGCACTTGCTCGACACTTTTTTTTAAACCTGCACGAAGGAGCCCTGTGGCAAAAGAGAAGGGAAACGACGACGAAGAGACGACGCGACAGAAAGCGGCGCGAGGGGCGAGAGGGGGGGGGAGAGGGAGGGGCGGGGAGGGCCGCAGGAGCCGCGCCCGGCTCCGCTCAGCAGCCCAGCGGCTGCCCGGCCGCGCCAGGCCGCCGGCGGCGCGCCGCGCCAGACAGCCCTAGGCCGCCGCGGCTGGCCCAGCGGCCAGCGGGGCCGCCGCGGCCCCAGCGGCGGCAGCCTGCAGCATGCGCCCGCGCGCAACGGCGGCCGCCGGCTCGTGCCTGGCGAGCGCCCCAGCCGCCTCCGCGAGCCGAGCCGTGGCCTCGCGGAAGCTGAGGCCTCGCAGGGAGACCTGCAGCAATGGCGCTACTTCCCGCGCCATCGCCCAGCCTCCCTCGCGCGCGCGGGCGCGCGCCGCGTCCCGCAGCTCCGCGTAAGCGAGCTCGAGGGCGGCCTCGTCGCCGCTCTCCGCGGAGTCCGTGCCAGCGCCAGCGCCGGCCGCCCTCCCCCGCGGCGGGGAGGCGTTCGCGGGCGGCGTGGCGGCGCGCGCCGCCGCTGCGCCGCCGGCGCCGGCCGCCGCCTCCTCGCCCAGGCGCCCGGCGCCGCCTGCGCCAGCCGCAGCCCAGCGGGTGGCCTCCCGGGCCAAGCGCTGCCGGCCGCGGCCCGTGGCTGCGGCGGCTGGCGTCCAGGCCGCCTCGGCGCGGCTCTGCGCCGCCGGCGCCGGCCGCCGCCTCGCCCAGGCGCCCGGCGCCGCCTGCGCCAGCCGCAGCCCGGCGGGTGGCCTCCCGGGCCAAGCGCTGCCGGCCGCGGCCCGTGGCTGCGGCGGCTGGCGCCCAGGCCGCCTCGGCGCGGCTCTCCGGGGCGGGCAGGAAGCCCTCCGAGCCGCCCTCGCCAGCAGCGGGGCCGAGGGCCGCCCTGGCAGCGCCAGGGGCGCTCGCCGCGCCCGCGCCCTCGGGGGCGGCAGCCGCGTCCGCGGCGCCGCGGCTGCGGGCCGCCCTCGCCATGGGGGCGCTCGCCGCGCCCTCGGGAGCGGCGTCCGCGCTCGCGGCGCCGCGGGCCGCTTCCGCCGCGGAAGCGCTCGCCGCGGCGCCGGCCGCGGGGCCGTCCCAGCTGCCGTCCGCTCCCGAGTCGGCGGCTCCGCGGGCCGCCCCTGGGGCGCTCGCCGCGAATCTCGCCGCAGCCGCCGCCGCAGCGGCGCGGGCCGCTCCCGCAGGGGGCGCTCGCCGCTCGTCCGCTCGCAGCGCGGGGGGCAGCCGCTGCTTGTCGCGCAGCTGGCGCGCGCGCCGCCTCGCCGCTCAGCTCGCCGCGGGCCGCCTCCCCGCCGGGGGAAGCGCTCGCCGCGGCGCCGCGTGAGCTAGCCGCGCCCGGGGCGGCTGCAGCCGAGCCTGTTGCCGGTGAGGCAGCGGCCGCCTGCCCCGCGCTGGGCCCAGTAGGCTCCGCGGCGTCGCCGTGGCCCGCTTCGTCGGCGTCCGCCCAGGCTCGCGCCGAGCCGAGCTTGGCGACGGCCCAGACGCCCAGGGCGTCGCACGCCGCCTGGAGGTCGGCGCCATCGCTGTCAGCGCCGTCCGAGCTCGGCGGCTCGCTGGCCTGGTCTGGGGGGGCGTTGTGGCGCCAGCCCGCCGCCCTCAGGCGTGGCCGGCCTTGCCTTGCCCGCGCCGGACCAGGTAGGTCCCGCCGCCCAGGTGCTCCACTGTGGAGCTCCCCCAGCCCGCAAGCCGGAGGATCTCGTAGAGCTCCTCCGCGCCGGCCGGGGCCGCCGCGCCCTGGGGTGCAGCGCCCGCCGCCCCCTGAGCCCTCGGAGCTGGCGCCGCTGGCTCCGCTGCGGCTGCCACCCGCGCCTGCGCGGGAGCCCCTGGCGCGGCCCCCTCGGCGGCCCGAGCAATCCCCCCCTCCGTGGCGTCGGAATCGGTGTAATAGCTCGCTGGGCTTGGCTCCCGGGCGCAGCCGCCGACCGGCGCCGTCGGTGCCGCCGCCTCGCGCGCCGGGGGCGTGCGCGAGCGCAGGCGCGCGGCCGGCGCCCGCCGCGTCGTCGCCGCCCCGGGGGGGTCTGCCGCGCTGCGTTCCCGCGCTGGCGGGGCGGGCGGTGGCCCCGCCGGGGGGCAGCAGCGGCTGCTGTGGCGCCCGCGCGGGCCGGGCCTTCTGCGCAGGCACCCGTGGCGCCTCGGGCCGGCGCCTCTCGCGGCCGGAGTCGCGCCTCGCGCCGCCCGTCGCCCTTGGGTTCCTGCTGCGCCGGCTCTCCGACCGGCCCGCGGGGCGGTGTCCACCCGCAGCTGCGCTTCGCGCAGGGCTCGTCGCCCGGGGAGCCGGGTCCAGGCGCGCAGGCGGCGCCGCCTCCCCGCGGCGCGCGCGGGGCCTCCTCGAGGGGGAGCGCGGCACCCGCGAAGGGCTCCGGGCAGCAGCCTCCTGCTGCTGCTCCCGTCGGCGCTGCTCCGCCTGCCTCCGCCGCAGCCAGCTGGGGGGCTTGCCCTGCTTCTTCTTCTTCCCTTGGCGGCGGCCCTCCTCCCAGGGCGCCGACTTGCCACCATCCCGGTGCCGGGACTGGCGGCCCGGCCGCGGCGAGCTGGACCGGGCAGAGGCACCACGCCCATGCCCAGCCTGGCGGCAAGGGCGGCCGCTCACCGCAAAGGAAGCCATCCATGCACTGGGGCCCGCGCCGCGCGGGGCCCCTACGCGCCTTGCGCGCGCCCGCACCTGAGGGAAGGCACCTCGAGCCTCCCCGTCGGCTTCGGTCAAGGTTCAAACCCCAGGGAAAAGGTTTGGACCTTGAGCCAAAATGGCTACGGACGCCCTTGCTCGACACAACACGCGACGCTGGCCATTCCCCAAGACGGCACCAGGCCTGGACCCGCGCCCTATCTGGGAACAAGGAGCCGCAAACGCTTGGCAAAAGGAAGTCCACGGATGCGGCGCAAGCCTGTCGAATCGGGTACACGCAACCGACGGAGAGACCCGCACCTACCCGGGCAATCTTACCCCACACCGTGTGCGGCAGCGAGTCCAGGATGTTGCCCTGCACGTCGGGGCCGAACCTCAGGTAGCCCACCACGGCGAAAATACCGAAGATGCTGGCCAGGCCCGAGAAACCGGAGAGCACCGCCTTGCCGAACTTCGCTGGCGATCGGTCCTCCAGCTCCTGGCGCTCCATGGATGAAGACGGGGGGATGGGAGGCAGCAGCAGAAGACGGGGCAGCAAGCGAGGCGGAAGTATGAGAAGGATAACGCGTAATCAGAAGGAGAGAGGAGCGGGGAGGGAGGAGTCTCCTGTCACACATCGACGCCTGGGGCGAAGCATGAGCCAGCGAGAAGAAAAATGCCTTGCCTAAAGGGTTGCACGTGATCTGTCGCACGTGATCTGCCACTCGAACAGACCACGCCGCAGGAGAGGCGGAGCTCCAAATTCCGCGTACGCGCACGTGCAGGCGCAGCGCTCTGGAGGAAGACGACCGTGACGCGGGCACGAAATCGAGGGAGACACATCTTGTCTCATTCCTGTCGCTATTGCACTCCGACAGCGCTCCAGTGGATAACCCCGCCTGTCGGTCAGCTCGGCTCTCCAAGAGGTCTTCCAGGGCCGAGAGGCACCACCGAAGCGCGCCGCGCCACGCCGCGCGGCCCGTATGATGCGGCACTGGGCCACGTGGGCACCGATCGACTGCGAACTCTCTTCTGCAACTTGAGGGGCCTGCGAACCTGGTAAGGAATTGAGATCATAACTCAGATCCGTCATAACTTCCACTCGTATTCATCGGCGCCCCGCCCTCAGACACATCCGTCTGAACCTGTCCCAATCCTCCTCTTCATTTCTCCTTCTCATTGCCTCTCACTGTCTGAGGAAAGATCAGCGACAGGAACTGCTGCGAGCCTGCCTCGGGCCGAAGGCGTGACCACGCAAAGACATCCCTGGGCTGGAGCCCTTACACCCCCCAACAAAAAAAAACGTGCCAAATGCACGTGAAAACTGTTTTGATCCGCGGAGCGAGAGCGCACCTCTTCCGGTCGAAGCTAAGCGGGCCGCGCACAGCTTTAATTAACAAAGGGGGGGGGGGGGCAGAAGGAGGGGCCTCACGTCAAGGCCAGGAGGGGGCAGAGCCCCGGAATCAGGCGGTGCCGAAGACGTGTCATGCACGTGAAAACAAATCATTCATGATTCGGGGTCGAGGACTCAAGAGCCCCTCTCAGATGGGATGGGTCCCGGGGTTCAGCTGGCCTGCACCCCATCCCCCCAGGTGGGATGGGGCAGGGACGACGACGACGAGGACACCGACGACGACGACTATGACGACGACGACGACGACAACGAGAATGATGATGAAAATACCAATCATCATACAAATAGTTATTCGAATGATAATACGAATGATATTGATCATGGAAATAACAATGTGAATACCAATAATATTAAATAAAATAGTCGAAATAACGATAATACTAATGATAATGATAATAATAAACTAAAAATGATAATACGATTTATAATAATGATGATGAGAACGCCGATGATGACGATGATGAGGAGGAGCAGGAGGAGGAGGTGATCTCGGTGATGGTGACGGTGACGGTGATGGTCACGGTGGTGGTCATGGTGGTGGTGATGGTGATGGTGATTGTGATGGTGGTGATGGTGATGGTGATATTGGTGGTGACGATGAGGAGGAAGAGGAGGAGGAGGAGGACGACGACGACGACGACGAAGACGACGACGACGACGAAGTCGACGACGACCTCTGGACCTCTCCTGGAGGCCGATTCCCCATGCGCTGAAGGCTGCAGCCCTCCCGCTTCACGAGACACCACCGCACGATAATAACACCCACCAGGGACGGCGGGGGTCACCGCAGCACCACACCACTCGGCGGCGAGCGAGGGGAGGAAGTGAGAAGTGAGATGGAGAAGGCCTTCTCAGAAGGTCCGGAGGTCCCCCAGCCTTCGGCGCCGAACCACACCCACAGGTGGAGATGGGCGAAGGGACCCATCGGTGGGGTGGGGGGGGGGCGGGGCCGAATCCATTAGCACGGGGGGAGGGTCTGGCCTCTGGATCATACATCAATTTCGAGTGCGGAACGCTCAGTGTCGAGCGCTGGATCGATGGCGGCCGACACAACGCCAAGGCTCGGGTGGCCGCCGGTGCCCTTCACCGTGGCGAGAGATACCAAGGAACCAGGATGCGCCTCGTCCCTGCAGGACATGTGGAGAACGTACTGGGCGAAAGACTTGAAAATTAGACTTGAAAGTTCGGTTCATGCCCCCCCTCTTGAGCCCATCTTGGGGCCGTCTGTAGGGTCTCTTGGGCCGGCTCAGTCGCCCCTGGGGCCGTCTTGGAGCCCTGTTGGGTCGCCCCGGGGCTCTCCTGGGGGCCTCTGTGGGCTGTCTCGAGGCGGTCTCAGGGGCTTCTTGACCGTACATGGACATGAGATTCGAACCCTGTGGCCCAAGATGCCCCCAAGACCCCCCGAAATTAATACTGATGGGGTGACGACGGGGTGGGGCGTGAGTGGACAGAAATATCCGAACCCCAAAGCACCGCCTTTACTGAGATCAACATTGATGTCAGGGGCGTGGGGGTGATTCAGAATCTCCATCGAATGTGTACGGGTTCGAATGTATTGTCCATCTACTGGAGCTGTCCTAAACTCAACCTGCATTGCATGACTGCACTCGCCGGCCACTCGAAGTGTGAGCAATGCGGGCAGCGTGGCTGTCTGCGCTCGCCCACTGCCGTCGGCACGGTCGCCGGTCCTTAGGCCTCGGGAGTTTATGCCCCAGAGGCCGACAGACGCGCTCTTTCCGACGCGCAGCAAGTAATAGGTCGGGCCTGTCCCCCTACAGGGCGATTTTGGACGAAAAACAAAAAATAGTCCAAAAATATTCCAAAAATGCTCAAACATAGTCCAAAAACCGTCCCCAGACAATTTTTTAACTATTTTTGAAAATTCTTCCTGTAGAGGGACAGGCCCGCCTTAAAGCAAGTACCAAGTGTGATACAAAGGGGCCATATTGCCCGGGATTCCCCATATTTTCCCATGTGTTCTGGATTTTCGTCTTCCCCCCCACTTCCCGTATTTTCCCATATTTTCCTGCGAGTCGACGAATAGCTGTGTCTGTGTTCTCCCTCCAGACATGAGGCGGGAACGCAATGCGTTTGACCACGTGCGTGATACTGAACTCTGTGATGCAGAGGAATGCCAAGAGCAGCAGTGTACTTGGCGTGCAGACAATCACTAGCAGTGTGCGAGCTGCACTCTGTGGCACATGATGTGGCAGCGGACAATAAACTTGGACTCGCAAAAGCTACCAGATGGGTGAGAGCTCCACTCTGTTATACCTTATGGATGGTGTGGCAAGCAAGCATCGGTGCGAGAATGGATAGCATCTGACTGAACGAGGGGTGCATTCTCTGCCATCCTCCTCCTACGCCTCCTACTTCGCCTCCACCTCAGCTGCCTGCACACCCACCTCCGTCTTCCCCCCCCTTCACCCCCGCCTTCGCTTCAGAACCTGCCGCCTCCTCCGCCTCACGCCTCTGCCGGCGCCTCCATCTCCACCTCGTCGTCCACCTCCCCCCGCGCTCGACATGGCCAGTAGCAGCACAGGGCTCCTTGTACATCGGCAGAACGCACATCTGGATGACGATGGCCATCATCATGACAGAGACCATTGATATGTCGCCGCGGCCGTCCCCGACCAGGCATATATCCGCCTGGCCCTTCGCCGGCTGCAGCGCCATGACGATGAAGATGTACAGGTTGACCACCACCGCCAGGGCCGAGGTGAAGTTCAGATATCTCTGGTCCAGGAAGCCTAGGGGCAGCACCACAATCGACGAGAGAAACACGCCCAGGGACCTCTGGTGGAAAGGCAGGATCTCCATGAGAGCATCGGTCAGCACGTCTATGTATCCTACCTGGGACCCCCAGAGCACGATCCATACGGAGACATTGGTGGCGAGCTGGGCTGGGCCGCTGATGCGGCTGGGCAGGTTCGACAGCAACGCGCCGAGGTCAAACGCCTGGTACCGCTCGGCGCCCTCTACGAGGATCGACACCGTCCATGCGTTCAGCGCGACGGTACCGACAATGATGAGGAGGCCGGGGAACAGGGAAGCGCCAGCGGTGCTCCATGGGAGGCTGAAGATGCCGAGCCCGAACCCACCGCAAATGAGGTTCAGCGTGATCGCACGGGGAGATGCCTCATGGAGGTCTGGACTCCGCCTCCGCCCCCTCCCCCTCCTCAAGCTACTCGTCCTCTTGCTCCACCTCGTCGTGCTCCCTCTCTCTTCCCGGCTCCCTCCCACACGTGCCGAGAGACATCATACGCCATGGTCTGTTCGCGACGCAGGTCTCCAGAACTCTCGACCCCACTCCAAGGACCACTTGCTCATCCCAGGCCGCTGTTCGACGGCCTCGGGGCCCGCAGCGGGCCTCTGGCCTCCAGATGCCCAAGCTCTGGAAAAGCTGACTGCAGCTGTCAACTCGTGTGGGCCCCACCACGTGTGATAAAAAACTGTGATCACATGTAATAGAAAACTCCGAATAAGATATATATATATATGTTGTTGATCACCCTCCTTCCTCTCTTCTGCCCTTTCCCAATCGCACGGAAACAACGACTCCCCCGCAATGTCAAAGCCAGGTCGTGGCCGGGTCGCCACGAAGAGGAGGCCCCCCGAACGGGTCGTGCGCGGCGCAAAGCCTGCACCCGAGTATGCGATGCGCCCGCCAGATTTCCTCCCTCCTTGCCATGGCTGTCACCCGACAATGGGTCGACCCATCTGGCGCAGCACTGGCATATGGCTCGGACAGGCCGTGCTCAGAAGCAGAGCCCGCCCCCGCCTTCGGGCCCCATGCACACATGGCCCATAGCGCAGGGCAGCATCATCCCAGCATGATCCACCACTCCTCCACAACTCCTCCGTCCCCGCACTCCCTCCTCCCACTCTCCCTTCCTCCCGCCCTCCCTCCCTCTTTTCCCTCCTTTTCCTCTTTGTCCTTCCTACTCCTTCCCGCCCCCACCCCCCACTCCGCCTTCCCTCCTGCCCTCCCTCCCTCCCTCCTCCCTCCTCCCTCCTCCCTCCCTCCCTCCTTCCTCCTGCCCCCATCATTCCTCCCTTCCCCTCTCACGTGTGCGGCCCCCCGCATCTCTCCGCTGCCTCCTCGGATGCCTCCCCCCCACCTCCTTCCCATATGTTCCTCCTGTCACCTCACTCCAGCCCCTCCCCCATGCCTCCTTCAGATCCTCCCGTCCTCGCACCTACACCATGCCCTCGCCCCCGCGCCCCCATCGACCGCAGCTGGCCGCAAGCGACAATCCCGCTTGTTCCACGAGGGCGACCCGAAGTCGAAGCGTTGCCCCTTGTCCTCTTTCCCCTCCTCCTCCTCCTCCTCCTCGTCCTCCTCCTCCTCAGACACGCGGGCGCACAGGCGGTCTGTTCCGCCGAAGCCCGCGCCGCGCCGCGCGCGGCCCGCGCGGCGCGACGCACGACCCCAACTACTTCCGAAGGCCTCCAAAAATCCTCCAAGAAGCCTCAGAGAGACCGGACGGGCCACAGAAAAGACGGGCCAAAAGCGCCAAAGGACCCGAGAGACCCCCGCCAGGAAGGAGAGACAGAGGGCAACCTCAAAGGACCTCGGAGAAAGGGATCGGCGGGGGCCGAAAAGGCCACCTACTACCACGGGTCCGTAGGCCCACTACCACCACCACGATAGTGACGAGGACCACCAGCACGCAAGAGATGCAAGGGGGGGACTACCAGCACGCAAGAGATGCAAGGGGGGTGGTCGAGGGTCAAGGCACCATGCACTTGCAGTCCGACGGGCCCCCAAAAGAACAGGAACGCCCAGGCCAGGGACCAGGCGGCACCAGAGCCAGGGACCAGGAGACGAACAGGACGGGGGGCCGCGGACGACAGGGCGCGAAAGGCAGCGGCCGCAGAGCAGCGAGGGAAGAGAGGGAGGGGCCTCCAAAGGCTCGTCGGGCACGAGGAGGGACGGGGAGCTTTGGGGCCTCCGAGGCGCGGCCGCGGCCACCTTATTCTAGCGTTGTTGCTCGGCCACGCGGAGCCAAGTTCACTGGGGTTCGGAGCCCTCATCCCCCCTGGCCTCCAGGGGGGCGCTCTCGATGGGGAAGGTGCGGTCCAGGTAGTGGCGCCCCTGCTCGCGCGACGCGACGCTCTTGGCGTTGTCCCTGCGCCTGCGCCTCCGCCTGCGCCTCCGCCTGCACATCCGCGCCTCCGCCTGCATGGCAGCTCCCCCGAAGTAGCGGTTGTGGCGGGTCACATATTCGATGAGCCCGCCTACCTGTTGTTCGTCGTTGTGGCTGCGTACGTGCGCTGCCGTCCGGATTCGCGCGATATCTCCGTCGTCGTCGCTGGCGCGCTGGAAGTGCTTGCCTGCGATGAAGGAGTCGGTCGTGGAGACAAGGCTGTGGCTCTTCAGGAGTTGGAGTTCGTGTGAGACGGCTGCCGCGAACGTTCCGATGTTCATCAAGCAGGCCGCGTCGTTGGCGATGCATGTGTACATGAGGAATATGGCGTCACGTATCTTCGCGCTGTCCTCCATGATGGGATTTGACTCTTGTTTGCTGGAATCTCTTCTACCCCACGGGCGTTGCTCGTCACGTAGTCGTTTTCTGTTGTAGGGGCTCTGTAAGGTCTTCTTGTAGTAAATGGCGTCAGTTGTTCCGTTCCTTATTGCGTCGTGGATGGCGTTGTTGGCGCGGTCGGGACTTCTGTCGTTGTTCGCCTGACTCGCGTGGTTCGATACAGTAAGAAGTCACACCCGTCGGCGTTTTATATCTGCGTGCTGCCCGATGCCGTTGGCGATGCGCGATACGCATCGCGTCGTCACTGGCGGCGCCCTGGTCAGTGATGAGCAGGATTATCGGCGTCCGATGTGGCCTGCCTTCGCATGCTCGCGATGTCTCACCGTCGATTGGTTCGACCCGCGCGTGGCATAGACGACTCTCTCGTTCCTGGGCACCTTCCGTCTGCCCTCGTCGCTCGCCCATCGGTTCAGCTGCGTGCGGTGACAGAGGCACTGGTGCCGGAATCATCGCAATGGGTTCGCTGCCCGCGCCTGTTCGCAGCGCGAGTGGCGGCCCGTGGAGTTGAATGCAAGGATGCTCTGCGCAGTCTTCGGGTAGTCCGTTGCTCTTGTTGGTCCGCCGTATGCGCCGTATAGGTTCGTACATGCATGCTGCTGCATCGTCGACAAGCCGCTTGCTGAACTGCATGGTGAGTAATGCACACTGCCGGCTGGCGCACACATGCTTGAGCAATCGGTTGACCGTCCAGTATTCCATCATACAGACCTGGCACGTAGACCCGCATATGTCGTTGATGAGTTGCCCCTGCTGGCTGCGCTTCGCGCGCGCTTCTGATAATCTGACTTGCGGCGCAAGATTCGCCCACAATCGTAGGATACGCACCTGCTGTCGCGTTGTGGAGCCTCGCTGCCAGGCGTCGGAATAGTGGTGTCGTTGCCGATGTCGTGGGTGATGTGGAGGGCTCGTCTTTTGCCATGCCTATACAGTTGCGTATAGCGTCGTATTTGGGAGTGGCATGGTGCTTGTGATTGTACACATTGATGTGGTAGAGATCGTCTGCAATCGTAGCAGACCATCTGCCGTTGTCTGCGATGTCGTGGTCAAGCAGGGCTCGTAGTTCCGTCGGGAACGCGGTAGTAAGCCGCAGTATATCTCGCAGCCTTGCTTGCCGTAGTCGTTGCGGAAGTGTCGCAATGCTTGCCATGCTGATGATCTCGATGTTGGTGATATTCTCGCGCTGCGTTGTCTGGTGGTTGATGCCCAGTGCCATCCTCGCAGCCGTAGGCAGCGGTGATCCTGTCCGTGTCGGTCTTTTTTTGCAGGCATCCAGGCACCAGCGTTGAATAGTAGTCGTGGGTATCCAAGAGTATTGAGGTAATGGATCTTGGCGGTGGTTGTGATCTTGTCACGCTTGAACACTTTCGGAGTGGCGTGGTAGCCTCCTTTAGAGCAAGTGCCCGTGCTGCCGCTTCCCGGGAGAAGTCGTTCCGATCGTTCACCATTGCGCCCAGGACTTTGAAGGGGCGCGTGATAGTGACTGCCATCCCCATGTCCGCGCACTGCTGCTGGTCGATAAGCATTTGTCTCGCGATCCTTGTTCCATCCTTCATGTTGGCGAAGGTGAGGAAGTTGGACTCAGTAGCGTTGAAGGGGAGTCCTCGTGAAAGTGTCGTTCGTATTAACAGCCCCCATATGGTTGTGATAATGGACTCGGTCGCGCCGCCGTCGGTATCCGTTGCCATAGCTTTCACGTCATCGACGAATGATGTTGCCGTCATGTGCTGGCCCTCGGTCGCGATGCTGAATACTGGTGAGCTGGCTGGTATTCTAACGGCGGCGCCAACGTTGATGGCGTCGTCGGCAGCGTGAACAGAATGAAGAGACATGAACGCGTTGAATGCGAAGTTCGCTATCGGTGCTCCTGGCCGTGGTGCTGCGTAGTCGGAGCCGCGCTCAGTGAAGAACCACGCGTTGCAGCGGGCCTCGGTCAACATCACGAGCAAGCGCCGGTTGTCAGCATGGGTGCTGACAATGCCGTTGTTGAGCACGAGGCCCTGGATCGCTGGTTGCATGCTTTGGGGGATGTCCATGTGGCTGGTCAGGTTGCAGATGTCGCCGAAGTTCATCTGCATGTCGTGTACAAAATCCGTTGCTACCTTGTGAAAAGCAGATTTGAAGTCAATCATGACCATGATGAAGTCGGTTCCCTCCGCAGCTGCAAGGTTGAAGGTCATGCGCATGACGAGGTGGTTGTAGTCCGTGCTGCAGCGGCTCCGTCCTCCCATCTGCGCTCTGAAGACAAGCCCAGGTAGCAGGTCCTTCATGCACTGGCGTAGGTACCTGTAGTGGCGCTTGATGATTGTGTTGGCGAACTATATTGGTCGGTGGTGTTGTAGCATCTCTTCGTTACTTTTCCCTTTCCAGAAGTCAAGTTGTCGGTGTTTCGAACCGTGGTATTGTCGCAAGGGTCGTCGGTGTTGTTGCATCGTGTTGAGATGTCGGTCTTTGTCATGAACTCTGCAGCTTCTACGTTGCCGAAGTGGTGAACGGCCTCGTTGTGCATGGACGCAGCGTTTGCGATGATCTTGCCGTTGTTGTCGACCATATAGGGAATGTCCGCGTCTTGCGGCGCTTGCGCCCGCCGAG